GGGTCTGGGCAGCGCGGCCGCCTCCGCCATTTTTAGGCTGCGGCGAAGCCGTGGCCTTGTCCCGGGCTCGGTCGGGGGCAGGGCCGAGCCGCGGGCTGAGCGAGAGGAGGGCGCGGCGGCCGGGCCGGGCCGGGCCTGAGGGTCTTGGCCCCCGAACACGTCTCTCTGCTCTGTTCGCTTGTGATGGCTCCTTCTTTGGGCCGCGCTGGGCACCCGGTCTTCCGCGCCCGGGAGCTCGCGGCCATGTGGCTGGGGCACAGCGGCCCCTGGGAGCCCTGCGGGCAGTTGCGAGCGCCGCTCAGTGTCACTTGGTGGCTCATTGGCTACCCCGGGCTGCCTTCTGATCACTTTGCCCTGAAGCTGGTCCCGGGCCGGGGCACCTTTGGTAGTAGGGCCTGGTGTTTAAATCCCATGGTAGAATTGACCACTTGTGCTCCCTGTCCGGCCTGAGGCCACCCAAGTGCCTTGCGTAACCTGCTGTAGGTAGATTATTCTGTTTTCAGTCTCCCTGTGTTTAACTGTTGTGAATTCATTTCCCACTCAGAAGTAGTGTGGGGGGGGGCAGAGGAAAACCAGCATCAATTACTTCCCTGGGCAGGAGCTTTGGTGCTAGGGCAGGCACCTCTCTGCCGTCTCATTCAGGCACAAAATACAACAGATGTTTTAACAAAGAGACTCTAGAATGGGAACAGTTTTGCATCCACAGGCCTCCATGATGGTTCTACACCCCCAGGGAACTACGTGCAGAAACTTTCAAAATTATGCTAAATTAATTTTTTTTAAACAAATTAGACTAAATTTAACACTATTTGAACCTTTTTTAGAAACATGAAGATACTTTGTGTGGGTAGGGGGTTTGTGGGGTGTGTATGTGGAAGAGATATGGGTGTAGGGTTTGTGGGGAAGTTGTGAAGGGATGTGGGCTTTGTGGAGAGAGTTGGGAAGGGGTGTGTATGTGGGAGCAGGGGGGTTGTAGGCGTGTGTGGCCCCCCACCACACATTTCCCACCCAGCCTCCCATGATGCACAGCTTCCACTGTCGGCTCAGCAGCGGGGGCAGGGAGGGCCCTTGGGGCACTCATGACCATGGCAGGCAGAGCCCCCAGCAGTGTGCGCCTCTGGCTGAGTTCCAGGGCCTGCACATGATGACACAGAGTCAGCCTGGTCTGCTGGTGTGCATCTTTGAACCAGACTGAGCTGGCTCCGTGCTAGGACATGAGGCTCACAGCACTGCAGGTGGGAGCTGCACACCTTCAGGCTGGGTGGGCTCTGTGACTCCGTGTGTGGCTTCCTGCTAGAGTGCTGGAAGCCCCATGTGGAGGCATGGAGCTGGCTGACCTGCCCCAATGGTTTGTGGATGGGAAGCCACACACCGTCAGGCTGGGTGGACTCCATGCTTCCACATGGGTCTTCCAGCACTCCAGTGAGAAGCCACACGTGAAGGCAAGCAGGAGCCTGCCTGGCCCAATGGTGCATGACTCCGTGCCCCCATGTGTGCCTTCCCGCCTGGCCCGATGGTGTGCAGCTCCCAGTCCATGCGCCATTGGGCTGGGGCAGCCCTCCACATGGGGCTTCCAGCACTCCAGCGGAAAGCTGCATTTGGAGGCATAGAGTTACGCGCCATGAGGCTGGGCAGGCTCTGTACCTCCACATGCACCTTCCCACTGGAGTGCTGGTAGCATCACATGGAGACACGGAGTCAGCTGGCCTGGCCTGATGGCACACAGCCCATATCCACCCACACGCATCCCGATGCCCACCCAGAAACTCCTCACTCCCTCCACATGGAGGTGGAGGCACAGAGCTCGCTGCAGTTAAATTATGCAAAGTTATGCATGGTCGTACCTTTTATGTGCAAAATTGTGTGGGCACGTAATTGCATAATTACCCAGGGTGTAATAAACTACCATTAAGACCTTTAAAAGCTTTAAAACCCTTGTATTTCAGTATCTATGCCCTATCAACAATTAGTCCTCTAAATCTATGGACCCTATATCATCTTAATTCACTTTCCCGATAAGCAGATTATTCCGTGTTATAAAAAAAAATTCAAGTACACCCTTAATGTGTGAGCATATAACAAGAACTCAAGCTTAATGCTATTTTCAGTTCACAGCAATGTTTATTATTAAAGTTGAAGATTTATTTATTTTGGTTATTGAATTTAAATGCATGTATGCTCTCACCTGTTCATAATCAACAATTTATAATAAACATCTCTGAACTAATGCAACACAGAGCATAAAAAAGTCTTACTCTTTCAGTGGGATGGCTTGATTTAAATTGCTTGTGTGGCGTGAGATCTTTCCCCAAAAGAAAAGCATGTCATTCTGTTAACACCCGTTTTTGTAGAAATCTAAAGTTGGAAAGTGTTCAGAATCTAATACTCTACCTCTGTTCTTTCATGCTTTAGCCATTTTTTAATGGGGCCTGTCCCTTAAACTGTTGCTAACAAATATAATTTGTCCTAATGACAGACTGTTTATAACATCCCATGTAGCTAGTCTATAGCATGATCAGGTACATTGTTTTCTTTAGAACTGTATCTAGCTGCCCAGCTTTTGAGTGGGTAGATTTCTGTGTCCTCTTGCTTAACTGCTGGGGGTTAAGGTAGATATTTTTATACAGTCCTGAAGTATTGTATTTCTTTTTTGAGAAATTGATAGATCCTCAAATTAATAACAATTTATTTCAGTTCTCAAAACTTGATACCATTGATACAGATGGATGGAGGCATTTTGTCTTCTACTCCAGCATAGTTGTCAGTAGCCCATGAATATTTACTTACAACCTGTACATATGACCATTATGAAAACATTCTTCGTACAATATTTTATTTTTTATCTTGATAATGATCCCTATGAGTCTCCTACAGAGAGATGATCATATGGAAGGATTTGGGGAAAAAAATCCCAGAGCCAGTGGCAAGTTTTCTGTGATGAGCAAAGTTTCAGAGCTATCAACTTCCTCATATGCTAATATTTTGCTTGTTAAAAATGTGTGTTTAACATTTTATAGCCTATGCTGACTCTCAGGCTGTAAATGAATGTGATCTATAGACCGCTCTAATGTCTACAACAGTATTTCTCAACCTTTTTTAGACTCAAGGCACCCCTCCATAACTTTGAATTGAGCAGCACCCCATTTCAAAAACTAATTTATATATAGTATTTAGCTCCTTGCAGTGGGGCCAGGCAGTGAGGGTAACAGTGACCAAGTGGCCAGGTAGGGATGAGCCTTAGGCTGCACTTATCTCTTTAGGTCTGCTTATCTCCTCATGCTTTGCAGCACCCTTCAAAAGATCTTATGGCACCCCAGGGTTCATTGGCACCCTGGTTGAGAATCATTGACCTAAACAGTTGCTTTTCTTCTCCTAAGCTGTGGCAGAAAGATAACTGAGAAGTCTTCTAGTTGGCACAC